CCTAAAGCTGCTGTAGGGGCTGGTGTTGTGGTACAGCAGATGCCAGCATCCCATATGGGCACCAGTTTGAGATCTGGCTGCTCCACTTCCAATCCAGCTTCACTTCCAATCAAGCTCCCTGTTAATGCACCTGGGAAAGCAGTGGAGGATGGCCCAAGTGCTTAGGCCCCTAGTCCCACTTGGGAGACCTGGAAGAAGTTCCTGGCTCCTGGCTTGGGCCTGGCACAGTCCTGGCTGTTGCAGCCATTTGGGGAATGAACCAGCAGATAGAAGATCGATCTCTGCTTCCACTCTGCCTCTCCCTCTAACTTTGCCTTTCAAAAGAAAGAAAGAAAAGAAGTTAAAACTTATGAAACTGGGCCAGTGCCGTGGCTCACTAGGCTAATCCTCCGCCTGCGGAGCCGGCACACCGGGTTCTAGTCCCGGTCGGGGAGCCGGATTCTGTCCCGGTTGCCCCTCTTCCAGGCCAGCTCTCTGCTGTGGTCTGGGAAGGCAGTGGAGGATGGCCCAAGTGCTTGGGCCCTGCACCCACATGGGAGACCAGGAGAAGTACCTAGCTCCTGCCTTCAGATCAGCGCGGTGCGCTGGCCGCAGCGGCCACTGGAGGGTGAACCAACGGCAAAGGAAGACCTTTCTCTCTGTCTCTCTCTCTCTCACTGTCCACTCTGCCTGTCAAAAACAAACAAACAAACAAACAAACTTATTAAACTATTAAGTGGGATGTAATAACCATTCTCTTAAAATAACATTCTTGGATCTATTTCTCTGATAAAGTTTAAAATTTTAATCAGACTGTGTCAATGCAATTGTTATAAGACCAATTCACAAAATCCTACTGTCTTAGATCCTATCTCACCCATTTCAGAAACTTAGCTACTTAAATGTAAATCAAAACTTAATTTGAAAATAGAAATTTGAAATACCATCCTCTAAAACATTCATCTGTAATTTTGTACTTTCATCATTCAAGAAACAGAGTGACTCTGTGGATTAAGCTGCCACCCTTGATGCCAGCATCCCATTTGGGTCCCACTTCTCCACTTACAAATGGATCCCTGCTACCGCATCTGGGAAAGCTGCAGAGGACAGCCCAAGTGCTTGAGCCCCTGCCACCCAAGTGGGAGACCAGGACAGAGTTCCTGGCTCTTGTTTTCTGTAGCCACTAGGGAGTGAGCCAGTGGATGGAAGATTGATCTCTCTCTCTCTCTCTCTCTCCTTCTCCCTCTGTAATTTTGCCTTTCAAGTAAATAAATAAATCTTAAAAAAAAAAAAAAAAAAAAAAAGGAAGACAGAAAGAGTCACAAAGGGCTTTGCCCAACTCAGAAATCTGCTCAGATTCCTTTTCGAACGCAGTCACCAGTTTGCCTCCCACTTGGAAAGTAGAAGTGTAATTCACGATCCGGTATTAACTTCAGAGGGGTCAGCATTGTGGCACAGCACGTAAAACTGACACCCGCAACGCCAGCATCCCATATGGGCACTGTTTTTGAGTCCAGGCTGCTCCACTTCCAATCCAGCTCCCTACGCGCTCCTGCCATTGTGCTCATCTGGGGAGTGAACCAGCGCACAGCAGGTCTCCCTCTCTCTGTCACTCATTCAAATAAATAAATCTTTAAAAAAAAGTTTCACTTTAGGGGCCATCGCTGTGGCACAGCAGGTAAAGCCACCACCTGCGGTGCCGGCATCCCATATGGGCACCAGATCAAGACCCAAATGCTCCACTTCCTATCCAGCTCTCTGCTATGGCCTGGGAAAGCAGAAGATGGCCCAAGTCCTTGGGCCCCTGCAACCACGTGGGAGACCCGGAAGAGGCTCCTGGCTTCAAATCAGCTCAGCTCTGGCCATTGCACCCATCTAGGGAGTGAACCAGTGGATGGAAGACCCACCCCCCCGTGTAACTGTGACTTTCAAGTAAAATAAATAAATTTTTTTAAAAAAAGTTTCACTTTAAAACTTAAAATATTATGCTAAATCTAATTTTTTTTTTTTTTGACAGGCAGAGTGGACAGTGAGAGAGAGAGACAGAAAGAAAGGTTTTCCTTTGCCGTTGGTTCACCCTCCAATGGCTGCCACGGCCAGCGCACTGCAGCCGGCACACCGCGCTGATCCGATGGCAGGAGCCAGGTGCTTCTCCTGGTCTCCCATGGGGTGCAGGGCCCAAGCACTCGGGCCATCCTCCACTGCACTCCCTGGCCACAGCAGAGAGCTGGCCTGGAAGAGGGGCAACGGGGACAGAATCCGGCTCCCCGACCGGGACTAGAACCCGGTGTACCGGCGCCGCAAAGTGGAGGATTAGCCTAGTGAGCCGTGGCGCCGGCTCTAAATCTAATTTTAATAATACCTGCCACTGATTTTCTTTACCTGCCGTTATGTACTTTTGATATATATAAAATACCTACTCTCTACATACTAGGATTTGGGGATTTTTTTCCTCCAAGGTCTCAGGTGAGTCAGTCTCTGATCAACCCTCTTCCCGTCTCTGGACTTTGTACACAGACTCTGGGGCTTAAAACAACACAAAAAAGCTGAGCTTCTCATTCAAGCACAGGCCACGGGGTCCCTGCCTGGTCCCCACAGCTACAGATACCCTGTGCCAAGGAAGTATCCACCTCGGCCTCAGGTTCTACACTTAGGAAAGGCAATCGAGACTCTAGACCTCGGCGAGAATGTAACTCCCTCCCACCACAAGGGCTGACACACCTAGAGAGGCTGAAGCGTCTTCCCCAGAGGCTGGCCTCACAGACAGAAATGCAAGTTGGGCAGGTGGCAGCCTACGGAGCTCCATCCTCTCTGTCTCCTCTACCTCTCCTGCAGGATGTGAGGAGCTTCTTCATTCCCTACCAGCCACCCTGCCCTCCTCATTCTTTCTCACTTCACAACAGAGGGCAAGCAGGCCTTCCAGCGCCCGCGGTCTAGACCGTCCCTTCCTGAATGTTCACAGCTATCTATCACCTACAAGACGTCAGCAACTGAGAAAAACAAGCAGTCACTCCAAGTCAGTCTTCAAGCAAATCACACACATGCAAATAAGCTATCTGGGCCTTCAAATGTCTAATGCTTTATACTAAATTTAGGGAACAGAACCCAGAACAATGAACTGTAAGCATTAGCAGCATCTAAAATATAACAGACTTCCATAATATACTTTGAAGTATACATCACATTTCCTTCTCTGCTCTTCCTTTAACAGCAAATATAGCTGTTGCTCTCTGCTGTTCTCAGTGCCTCACGAGCATTTATGCGTGGAATGCCTCCACCAGTACATGGTTTGGGTCAAAGCAGTCCTATCATGCCTCTGGTACTTTCCTTACAGCACTGACAGGAAATAAAACTGCTGGGAAACCACTAGAGGGCATGGGTTGCAACCATGCTTTCAACAGCTCCTAAGGAAACTAGGGCTGAACTTCACACACCCTATGCTGACCCCTCTGGACTGAAGGTAAGGAAGAAATTGACACTGCATCTCTTCCTGCAGGAGTAGAACCTACCAGAAAACACACTGACCCTCAGCAGCTCCCGCTTGGAACAGTCATAATAAACTCCATGCGTGCCTTGAACATAAGTGCAAAAACAGCAAGTCCCCCTCTCCCATCCCAACCCTGCCAGAGACCTGAAATCTGCAGCCGCCTTAATACCGTCAATACAGTTTGGGGAGCAAGTGGCCTAAGGTCAAACTGTAAGAGAAATACAAAGCTGCCCTTCACTACACAGTACTGCTCCCTATCAAGAGAGCCGTTTATGAAACACCGGATTTAGCAGTAGGTCAGTCTGGATATGATTCATTTACTTTAAAATACTCTTTTTTGAGAATCCTTCTAAATGGTAAATCCCCCTTACTTAACTCAAAACCACCAGGAATCTAAAAATTAAGTTTGATTTGGGTAAGGGGAACCACAAGAGACAGCACCAAGGATTAACTGCACAGTATTTCAAAGAGCAACTCCAAACTGCGGCCATCTCTGAATTATTTACATAGGTATTAAAGCCACAGTCAGCCTCAGCCCCGGGCGGGCTCTGCTCCTTCAACAGCCCACCGTTCCATCAGGACTATCATCTCAACTCCAAACAATTTCTACATTTAAGCCACTTCGCACCTGCGTCTTTCCTTAAACGCACCGCAAAACCTAGGGACTCTTGGAAATACTGGAACATCAGCACGAACAGAAATCCTTTCCTAATTAACTGCAATGTGTGACTTCTTTCCACGCAAACTCGCTTAATTAACTCTTTGTTCTTTTCTGTCACCACACCATATTACTGCCTCAGCCTTAGAAAAGCACATACCCAAATGAAAAAAAGGACCTTGCCATCACCATTCCGGAAACAATGTCAAAAAATCCGAGGTTCCGTCTTGTTCTTTTTTTTTTTTTTTTAACAAAAGAATCAACTCTCAAAACTTAAAAGTCATTTCTGCCAAGGCCACACCTTCTAACCTTCTCGTCATCCACAAATCAAATCGAAACTGCTCGGAGCCGCTGCACGGTGACCCGGACCGCATCTCCCTACAACCTGAAAAGAGGTCGGGGCGCGCCGGGCGACTCCGGGGAGCAGCTCGGAGGAAGCGCCTCCCGCCTCACAGCCTCTTCCTTCCTCGGGCGGGATGGCGGGGCGGAAGGCACTCGCGAGGGGGAAACACACCCCAACTTCCCACTTCGGATGTCCGCCCCACCGCTTTTCCTTCCAGAACCTACGGCCAAGCAACTCCCGAGCCCGACGGCGACTCGGAGGGGCGGGCAGGGGTTGAGTGCGGGGCGGAAACCCAACGAGGGCGTCGAGCGGGGCGCCTCCCGCCCCGGCTGAACCCCAACACCCGTTTCCTCACGGAAGCGCGAATCTAACCCCCCACCCAGCCACCCACATCGCCGCCCCGGGCCGTCCCGGACCGCCCTCGCCCACCCGTCGCCCTGCCGGCCCGGCCCTGGCCGCCGCCGCCGCCCGCCTACCCGCCCTTCCCGGCCGCTCCCCGCGGGCGCCCGGCGACGCGAAGCCAGGCCACTCACATCCGTCCGCGTCCTCCTGCAGGTCCTCCTGGAGTAGCGAGAGGTCTGCGCCGAGACAGAGAAGAAAGGCCCGGTCAGCGCCCCGCGGCCAGGCGCGTCGTTACTTATTATGACGAAACTCTAATCACTACTATATGTAGTTATTTTATATCATCCAAGACTTGAAAACCCTCCTTCCTCGAGTCATCGAGCCTCAGTTTGATAAA